AAAAATACTATGTAACGGAGATACACTCCCTAATAGGGTGCAAGTTTTAATGGATTTTGTCCAATATTTTAGAAACCATTTTAGATAAAATTACAAAATTTGGTTTACAGTTATACATCTAAATAAATTCAAAGATAAAATGTCGAAAATTTAAATCAAGGGCGTCGGTTGATAGGGGTTGGGTTAGTTGAGCTTCAATGTTTAACTGAAATCCCAACCACTACCAACCGAGCTTTATTCAGAAATGACTTTTATATAGGGAGTATATACTGGGTGTCCGGTCTCAAACCTGAACATATGGATTTAACATGGTAATCTTTACTTTAGCTGATTCCTGCTTGCCAGTGCAACGTACATACATACAAGTAAGGTAATGGTACTTATCGAAAGATACAATTATTGCGCGTTAAATGATTCCAAAAATATGCATAAAAATGTTTTTTTACTTTGAATCCAATGTTAAAGAGTGCTTTTATCAACTAATTCCAGTAGATAAAGTAGTCTTTTTTCGTCTTGTGAAATAAAGTTATTTTTATCTACTGTTTATATTCAAGAAGTTCTGGTAGGTGAGTACAAAATAAAACGAAATATTATAGACGACGATAATGATTGTTTATCTACTCGTGAAAAAACTCTACTCTAATGAAGAAAGGGTCTAAACGTTTTATAGATTTAACATCAGGCGATTTTTTCCTGTGGGGCCACTTTAGCAGCAAAATTTATAAAAGGCGATCACCCAGATATTAATTCTTTGAAAGAAGCAATAATTGCCGAATACGCATTAATTAACGCAAGACAATTGCCTAATGTAAGAAACTCTTTTTATACCAGACTGGGATATTGCTTGGTTCAAAATGGAGGTTATTTTCAACAACATTCAACAATATTTTTCTATGTTTGAATTTGAGACCGGACACCCGGTATACGAGACAGTGAATTTTGTGGACCCAATTTCCCTGACAGATTAAAGGTGTAAATTAGTCTTTAGGTTTTCCCAACCTAAGTATTTTGATTAACGTTGTCGTGTTGACAGAATGCTCGATGCTTCTTGCTACTTTTTACCTTTGTCCTTTGAAATGGTAGTCCTTGGTATGCCCAAAAGTATAGAGAGACGTCTTTGAGACATACCTTCGTGTACAACCAGAGAGATAATTTTTATTTTATTAAACACACTTACTGCTGGCATGTTGGAATTTGATTAAATTTGAATGTCAGTTATGACAATAAAGCTTAGACTACAGTGAAGTTTTGTGAATTCACAGAAATTGGGTGGGCGAAATTCACTGTCCATCACTGTACTCCCAAGTTTTGTTGTGTTATTTATTTTGTGTATTTTATTTTGTTTGTATAAAATCTTTAGAACATTACACGAATAATTGTCCCTGTTTTGTTCCTACATAGTATTTTTTGATTTCCCAATTATTTATGAGAACCCCGTACTCAATATTATTTAATGGGGAAAAGATATTTTTTAAAAAATATCTGCTTTAATTATTTTTAGTCGGATACAAATTGTTTCTTAGTTATAATCACGATATTATGTTTAAAATGCAATTTTAATAGCTGGCTAAATTTGATGTACTCGTAGGAAGTATGCTGGTGAACGTTAATTTAGATGCAACAGACTCGCGGATGGTTTTGAATTATTAAAACATTTGTTCATTTTCAGGACGAAGGAAAATCATTTGGCGAATTTTATTTTTGTTTTATTTCTTCGGTGCGGTTTTCTTTTCAAAATAGTCGGTTTGCTGCAGATGTTATCGTCTAGTGAGTAAATAAAGGTGCATTGTTCGCTTTATCTGAAATTGATCGTTAATTATGTATTCTCTGTAAGTGTTCGTCGAAAAATAAAACTGTTATAAAGAAAGCCCGGCTTTTTAATCATGCACCATACATTTTAGCACAAAGAAATGCAGCTTTTACTTGACAAAGAAAAACCGGATAAAAAGCCCGGTGAAGTGAGTTTCAAAATGATAAGGACGTGTCTTAAACTGCGAGTTTATTGCGTCGTAAACCTCTTTCTAATATTATTCAAACTGTGGAAAAAAGAGAAGAAAAAACACAAGACGCAATTATCGGTAGCTATAATTTGATTTCATTGTGTTAAAAAGTTTCAATGTTTAACTTGATAAATTCGTTCGAGTCAAAAGAAATCTCATTATGCGCGTAATGACGTTTTAAGTAATAAAAATTTGAAAGAGCGGTTTTATCTTTTTATTTTACTGTCAGGATAAGTGAAGGAAACGGCGACAGTTCTTTCTTTAGTTTCTCGTTCTAAAATTTTATTATTATTTTAATTTTGTGATGCGTCCGCGTGGAAAAGTCCGATAACTTAAATTACAACGGTGATAGTTTTTCTTTTCACTTATTCTATTTTAAAGTGAACACGGAACCGAACTAAGTTTCGCATTCTCCGGAACCAACTTAATTAACCAACTTGGTCTTGATTTTAATCAGAATTTTAACTGAGTAGCTCTACTTTCAAGTTGACTATTAGTGCTATCAGTATCAGCTTTATTTGTTGCGAACAGAATTAATAAATTATATTTTATTTTCTTAAGATCTCTTTGTATTTCGGAAAAATCGGGTTGGAACAATACTTTTTTTCGGCGGTTTTAATTGTTTAAAATAATCTGATTAAAAGGTTACAAAGTGCTATGTATTCATAAGGTAAAAGAAACCGTATTCTCAATTAAAGTGATTAAACATGATGTAAATAAATTTTGATGTTTCGACTAGCATTCGTCTTTGTTTTGAAAAACCAATTGACGTTTAATGTTGTTTTTAATTCGTTTAAAAAAGGACGTCGGCAGGTTTAAATTTTCTTTTAAAAGCCTTAACTGGAAACGTTTTAGTTTCAAAGGCAAACATATCTCGTAATAAATAAAACAGCGACAGAACATAGCGTGTGTGGCTGGTGGAATCCTTTAATCAAAGAGAATGGTTTTAAATCAGCTTAGCGAGAGTTCTGCTGGGCTTTGCATGCCGGATAGGCGGCTGAAACGAGATAGGGGTAAGTGGAGAAGTTAACCACCCTAAAGTGCACGTGTGTCACCACCACCGGACGAGCGGACGGACTTACGTGCCATCGAAAAAACACATCGCTCACGAATTGGATTGGACATCGAAAACACCATTAATATAACATCGTTAATCTGATCGATCGTTGGGACGATCTCGCCCCCTCGGGTCACCTACGTTTTTCATCGAATCATTTAAAATTCACTTTTACACTGGGATGGTGTTTAATAAAGGATACAAGAGCAACAACCGGTTACGAAAACGCACAGAAATATTCACGAAATTTTCAATTAAAAAACTAATCTTGCGCAGATGATATTTTGATGCATATTTGAGACAATATTTTCAAATATTTTGGGATCTCTTGATTTAATCACATTAATTGAGCGTTTGTTGTTTAATTATTTTTGGTGTAAAAATTTTAAACATAGCGAGTTAAATATTTTTTTATACAAACAAAGCAGTGAACAAATTAAAACGAAATTAAATGAATAAAAGACTACAAGTGTTGTAGAACTCAAACAGCTGGGACATATTCTGTCGTTGTGTGGCTCTATGGTGTTTTAAATTAGCAAAGTTGCAGTTACAAAGAGAGTATTTTGTTAAACAAAAAGCTGGAGTTTGCTGTATTCAGTAATTGCATTTAGTAAATCTTGTAAGTGGAGTTTATTCAACTTGCATTTAATTAAATCTTGGGACCAAAAGGTTCATACGATTGGTGGAATTTATTTTAAATTGAGAATTTTATTGTAAATTAAATATTTTAATTTCGGGTTTGGTTGCACAATTACATTCAAACAAATTTTGAATTCTATTAATTTATACCTAGCTGCTCATTAGAAATTCACATGGCGATACGCTAATGTAATAAATTGGCAATTATTGTAATTTAAATTTTAACACATTTAAATGCATGCGTATTACTTGACCTGCACCATAATATTTTATAAAACACGCAATTTTCCTGTAGCAGGTACATTTGTTAACAGTAAGCCGTTACCCCTCAGCATATCATTATTCAAATTTAAGATTTTAGTGAAGATTGCTATTATTATTAGCAATGGTAATGACAGGTAATGAATTATTTTATAAAATTGATTGCTACAGTAGTAGGAGTTTTTTTTCCTATTGGATAGGTTATCGCAAGAATCTATTATAAACAATTCGCCATTATTTATACAAGGAACAATGCTATGTATATTTTTTGCACGAAAGCTCTTATTTTCCAAAAACTTGTTAGCCATAAGTCAGCACGCATCAGTTCTTTGTGTCTCGAACGTATTTTAATCCTGTTGTTTGGTTCCCCTGATCGCTTTTATTCTTGAAACAATACCCTAAAGCTCATTTTTTAACCGACTTCTTTTTTTAACTTGTTTTTCTCTTTTTTCTACAATTTATTCGAAATCCGGAAACAATCTCATCGATTTCATTTGTCTCTGGGTTCCATATAACGCTTCATATATGCATAAGCATATGTGTCTCTCGCCCATTTTCTGAGATTGTTATTATCAATGTGCTGAACGTCTCGATTGGACCGTATATTACCATGAGGACTTCTCAAATAGTCACTTTATTTTATACAAAGAATCCGAAATCGGGGAAAGTGGGATCGACTAACGTTTCTTAAAAGTGCTGCCGGAATCGCATTACCGCCACCGTTTGTGGGTAGGGGATTTTTAAAACGACAGTTTGTGCGTATACATCGTATATGTCAAAGTGGTGCTATGGAAACAGAAAGGCGAAAGCGCGTGTCTTGCGTGGTAGTGCTGGAAACGCTGTCTTTTGATTGCCCATAATGCCGCCCGTTAGACTCGAAGACGGAAGGAAATGAAACAGAATAATTCAAGCAATTCGTTTATTGCCACTCGTAAAACAAGCAGAATAATTAAGGAGACCCCTTTTTATTTACTTTTATATCAGCTGTTATTTGCCTAATTCTATGACCGTTCCCTAATAAATCGTTTCTTTTTTCTTTACAGATTGACCCCAAAGTAGCGTTCCCGAGAAGAGCACATCCAAAGGTGAGTATTTTTTTTTTCTTTTTTGGTTCTTATTTGAGGTTTATGTTTACTGTATTTCTAATCAAAATGAAGCTTATCAAGATTAAATTACAAAGTAATGGCAATATTAAATTTTATTACAATTTATGTTTTGTAAACCGGCAGTTACATTTTTTATTAATATTCGAATTATTATTTTCGAAATGTTTTCATGTAAATTGCATGAATGAAATTTTGTTGGATGTTGTTTCTGAAAATAGTAGTTACTATTTAAAATAAGGAGAATTAGCTATTAATTAGGTAAAATAGGCTTTTCATAGTTTGCAAGAATTTTAATTAGCTTTTTATAAGTAGGTGCAGCAGTTTTATTAGATTCAGTCGAGTACATTTCATTAAATCCAGTGTTGTATAAATAAATAAGTACCTAGTGTGTGCAACCCTACGTGGGGTTTGCTCTATTTTCTAGTCTAATTTTGATCAAAGCCATCAGTATTCATACGCTAGGGCATTGCAGACGGCACGACAATCCTACGGTTCGAGAGTCGACCAATTAAAGCGAAATACAGAGTTAATTTAGGCGGTTGCAGATTTTCCATTTCCCAAAATAATTAATCTTGGAAGAAAGTAGAAAAAATCCGGATATGACACGGATTAAAAATTCGAGATATATTAGCTTTTATAAAAGGATAAGGAACTGTCAGTCTAGGCGACAAAGTGACGCAATTATAATTACTCGTAAGTACATGCAAAGTTTTGAAAAGAAGTAGTCTGGATGTCATAGAAAAAAGCGAACAAAAATGCACCGGCTTTTCCATTTTCCACTTAGCGTAATGAAAGCATTTATAAAAGTCGTTTAATCGTGGCCCGTTTATGAAGTCGTTTGTATGTCGCGCTGCTGAGCTCACGGAAGACCAAATATTAGATTATTTGAAAACTCGGCAGCTTCCGGCGCCTCTCTTGTCAATATTAATTAGACTTGTAGATTTTTAATTACGATATATTACAACTGGGATGAGAGCTTGTTCCCCCAACAAAATGGAAAACCGTCAACAAGTTAAGCTGGGAGTTCCCAAGCGCACTGGTTTAATTTCACAAATTTAACACAATTACAATTAAGCGCAAAATAACGTCATTAAGCAGATGAAACAGAGTGGCCCGCATAGCGGCTGTTTACTGGAAGGCTCTTCTTAACTTCGGAAGCCCGGATTTCTGAGGTGCTGCAAACTACAGCTGCAATATATTACCTAATTCCGGATTCCGTATTCGCGCAAAGGACGCTTTATATACGACCAGGACCCGACAACTAAACAATACGAGCACACCTACACCTACACAAATCCGCACAATCATCAAAAAATTTAAATTCAAACTTGTTTCAACGCAATTTATATTAATTAGAAATTGCAATAAATGATTGCTTTTTTATTTGTTCCATGTCTTCAAAAATATACTAACGTCTTATACTACTTAAAAAGAAAAAACTTCATGAATGTCGCAAAAGTTTAGTCTACCACTTTTCTGAATGTTTTCTCTAATTACAAAGATTCTACAAAATGTTTTTAAAACTGATAATCTTTAAAAGAAAAGGATTGTTTATAATTCTGTCTCAAAATTTTAATTGGGTTTTTTTAGTTGAAGGTCGTATTTGTTTTTTTATCATTTTTACAACAAAAATATACTTCTTTATCTTCTTTCTATTTTTTTTGTTTCTTGATTAGGTAACTTAGTGGAGGATAAAAATTGTATTACTAACTATAGTCCGTTTTTTTATTATTTGCGTGTGGATCAATTAATAATTCGAAAGACGCACTTATGGCTATCTCTTCTGAACATTTGTAAACAGTCTCGTCGCTACGTATTTGTGTAAGTTCGGTCACGCCATTGATCTCACTTTAACAAATGCAATTCAAGTAACGTAGAGCTAGTGACGTACATCAAAAGTATTTTGCCGTCAACTAGGTTATTTGTAATTTTATTTTTAATGGGAAAACTGTTTTGAGGCAAATATTTATATTCTCTATATTATCATAACATTTATAACAATCGTAATTCAAGCCCTATAAAAACCTTACGCCAGGGAGAAACTTTCACTTTAGTACAAAAATGTCCGAAGCTGTCGAATGTCAAAAACAGACGGAGGTTATGTCGTGTCCTTGATTCACACTTTCCTTACCAGCAAATAATAAAAATAATGGACTTTAGTTTGAAAAAAGTTTATTTATTTATTTACTACTCCTAAAACATCTCATCTTACCTTACCTGACAGAAACATTTTGTTATTTATTTTTCATATTTTTCAAAGTGACACCGTTGTCAAAACCGCCAATGTGATATGACTTAAAAAACCATAACCAAGACAAAAATGAACTTTTTTTCCACTGGGTCAGAATAATTGCTCGTTTCAGCAAGATGTTTTTTCTTTACAAAATCATTTTTTTTTCCTTTTGTAAACTCAATACTCATACTGTATAACCCTTGTCAAAGAGTGTGCTTTTTTTCTGCTTTTTATACAAGATGTTTTTCCAAATTATAAGTATTATTATCTTTACTTTGCCAATTTTTATTTATTTTTTTCACTGTAAATCAAGACACTGTTAGGCAAATTTTCCATAAACGCTTAAGTATAGCAAGTACGAGAAACTATCTAACACATTATTTAACATAATTGAAGTTTTGAATAATTACTCTCGGCTAATTGATCATAATTGACGGATCAATGCAGTTGTGTGTCTAGCAGCGTTGCACTATAAATATTGATCTTCTATAAATACATGATAATGACTAATAAGCCTTTGCTGGATCTTTATGGATGAAGTGATTAAAAATTTATCATCATTATTTATTTATGTAACAATGGTAACTTCAATTAGCCATCGCTTTGAGAATGACATCTTTTAAATGTCTCATAGTAGTTGCCTCTGTTTGGTAGGTATGTATTTTGCACATCTCTGAAGATAAAGCAATTAAAGCATTTTTTTACACATAGACTTGGAAGTAGTGAAATTAATTTTTTAAACTCTAGTATTTTTTAGACAGCTGCTGACGATGACCTAGTGAGCTTTTCTTTAAATAATATCCCAAAAGTTGGTGTGAATGAATATTGTCTTCCGCAAACTATTTCTCGCAAATTCAAAAAAAGTCACCTCGTTGTCAGTAATTACGTAAATCACGTTGAATAGTTTACATGTCCGGGCGGCGAAATTGCGTATTCGAACACAAATCTCGCAGCAGAAGATTTAGTAACTTTATATGCGCATAAGAATTTTAGCCGAAATTGCCTACCCCGGGTCCCATAAAACTGCACGCTACAAGTAGATGCCAACACACAAAACGACCGAATATATATCAGCGACGGGGCCTAATTCTAATGAGCACTTTCTTACCGGTATAACAAGCCCGTACCTGTAATAAAATTATCGCGTTCTCGAAGTTTCCGTCGTAATTCCGTTCCACTTTTACAACACTAAAGCATGGCTGGAGCTTATATTCTACACAACGTTATTCTGGCAGAAGATTTATGTGAGAGCTGACTTTAGTTATTTTGTTCATAAGCGGCGCTTACTTAATCGGCGGCCTTAATTGAAATTTGGCGTGCGTCTTCGCTTTATAATAAGCGAACGGAAATGAACTGACTCCGTTCGACCAACCCTTCACTGGCCACAACCAGAAATACCATCCGGCCAGACGGAATCGAAAACCAAACCTCGAAGACAAGCATATTAAATTTTTAACTGTAAAATTAATGAAATAACTGTACCAGGTGAATAAAAGTATAGAACCAAACGTTTTTTGCTTAAACTATTTATTTTTTGGAAAAACTAAATGATGAATGATAAAGTACTATAAAAATGTGACGTTTTATAAAGAATTTAATTTTTCGAATTTTTGTGTTATTTGTGTTGTGTTGTACCTACTGCAAAATTTTTATTTTTTTGATTGACAATCCACTATAAAACCATTTTTCTGATGAAGGTTATAATCTAAAGATCACAGTCTACTTTATATTTACTTTTAAACTTGCCATTTTGACAAAAAAAATCGCCATAACTCAAAAACAAAATAAACATTCATTCTCAAAATACGATCACGTTTTTATGTTATTTTAATTAATATTAATTATTATTTTCTGGAGGAAAATTGATTTAAAAAAAAGGCTTGGTTTCATACTTTATATTCACCCTGTATATCAAAAATCATAATGTGTCGGTTTGTAGCACAGATCGATTCCCATTCTCTCAACTACAGAATTAAGAAGCCAAAAATTTGATCAATTCGTGAGAATTTTTGACTTCGCCTTACCACTGCTCCCGCTTCGATCTGCACGTTTCCTTYGTGGCATGATTTAATATGACTTAGCATAATCCTTTCACCCTTGAAACGACTCTCCGCTTCGTTTTCTCCAAAATAACGGCTTTACATGTCAGAAGACATTCCAACTTATTATTTTATGGCGTGCCCACTCGATTTGTGACGATTTTCAGAAACAAATGGAAAAATGATTCAATGTGGGTGTTTGACGGCAATTTTAATCTTGTAAAATAAAAATGAAAGAATGTGTTGCTTTTGTTACCAATTCATGAATCGAGAAGAAAAATGCTTATTAATGTTATTGGGATCATCGCGGTCTTTGTTTCCAGAACAATTGAATACGCGACTTTGTCTTGAATAATAGTCATAATGACGTGATGGCTCGCGATGTTTTCAAACGACAAGCGTTTCTGATTTTCAGACGAGCTCAAGCTGTAGCAACCTCAATCACTATTTTGGGAACTTTCTTTTCGTTTAAAATTAATTAAAGTTGAAGCCTGCACTCTTACGATGAAGTAAAACTGAGTCGCTTAGTGCGGTTCAGTAGTTGGAAAAGTTCATCCAGTTCGGTTTTGAGGGCTAATCAATATTCTCGTGATTTAAGTTCAGGTTTAAGTCCTTGGAGTTTTTTATGGTAACGGAATTTTCCACAACTGATGGGTTTGTGCAGTTTTAGTTTGAATATTATCGCTTTTGATATTTTGCGGAGAAAG